CCCGGGAGGGGCCGGGGGAAAGCGGGGAGCGGCTTCGGGGCGCGGAGGCGGCTGGGGGCCGGCGGCGTTACCTCAGAATAACGATAGGGAGTAGCGGTGTGCGCGGCCTGTTTCCCTGTCGCCCGAAGAGCTGCGTCAGCAGGACCCCGCCGGGCCTTCTGCCCCCCCTCCGCCGCCCCCTCAGCGGCAAACGGGGCGCGGGGGGAGCGGGGACACCCTCGCGGGGCCCGCACCGCTGCCGCCGTCCCTGCGTTACAAACGAAAATGGCCTTTTTGCAAAACCGAGTACTTAGCACAGGTGCGCACCAGGTGCGCTGGTGTTGATGCCCGTTCTGGTGCCCAGGTGACCCCGGGGGGTGACCGGCCCGTGACCCGCTGAAAGGGCGTGCCATTGGCCAGCGCGCGCCGCCCCCCAGGAGCCCCCCCGAGCCCCAGAGCAGCGGATCTGGCCGCACCTGCGCGCGGTTCGGATCGAGCCCCTTCGGAGCGAATCCGAGACTAACGCCTCATTCGGCGGGTTGGGCTGAGCACAAAACACTTTTTGTGGTGTGTCGGCTCCATCGGAGGGGAGCGGCCCGGCCCGGCCCGGCCCGGCCTTCTGCTTCGCCCCCCGTGCAAGGCTTCCCAGGCACCTCCTCTCGGGCTGCCGGAGCCATCCCAGATATTTTTCCATGGTATTTCTTAACTACTTAGCAAGAAATGATCGCATAATGTTTACTGTTTAGTTGAAGATTCTCCAGTTTCGTGAGAAAAAAAGAAAATGTGCGTGCTGATTTTCTTAGGGATGCTTTCAGGATATCGTTCGATTGCATGTGCTTATCTGGAAATCTGGAGCACAGTGCAGTGGAAGTATAGGCAGCTTTAAACTGGGAGATTTTAATTCCAAGGCCTTTAAGAATTTCTTTGCTGTCTGTTTATATTACAGAGAGGCTAATTTGCTTTGCTGCAATCTGAAATCCTTGAAATGTTGTGGTTTCCTTTGGGTGGGTGGGTTGACATTTCCTTTAGAAAACAAGTCGGGAAATAAGCTAATGGAAAAGCAGAAGGATGGAACAAAGCAAAAGAAAATAATCAGGAAAACCAAAGGGATGGATTCCCCAATTTCCCAAGTTCCGTAACCTACAAATTGCAAAAATGGGTAAAAATGCAGGGAACTGACTCCCCTGCAATCATTCTTCTTTAAAGCAGATTTTGTTCTCCATTAAAATAGCCAGTTACTTTATTTTAAAAATCCAGTTTTGTTTTGAGTAGCAAAATACATCAAAAGACCTATTTTTTCTACTCACCCATCATGTTTTGAATTATTTATTCAGCCTATCTTTTTTTCCACATATATTTTCTGCTCAGAGACATTCTCTAAATGGGACTTTATTTCTTTTATAGTGTAAGGAAGCAGTTAACTTTTGTTACCATTTACAGTAAGAATAAAAGATAATATTGGTAATAACAATAAAAACACTGTCGTCTAAGCACAATACAGAATCATGTAATCTGGCAACCAAATCATATGGCTTACAGGAATAGAAAGACATTAGATGGTTACTGTATATGAATGCAAAATTTGAGAGAGGCTCACAGGAGAAGAATATTTGTAATTTATGCCCCTAAGCTGCAGTCATTTGACAGCATCAATATTTAGTTTCACATAAAAAAAATTAATTGTGCCAAATATTGATAGAAGTATTGTATTCCTATTTGTTACTGTATACTAGGAGGGTCTAATGCTTATTAAGCCATTAACTCTACAGATGAAGGCAAGACCCCTACAAGAGTGTAGTCTCCAGGAGAGACTAAAAGGTCCCTTTTAAAGCATTTCTCTTGAAGAAATTGTGTTATGAGAAGAAGGGCAGAAGCACAGGCAATCTGCACCAAGAAATGGATTTGTTTTCCTAAACCGGAAAATCCTTATCCCTCCATAAAATGCAAAGTTATATTGAACTATCTGCAACGGTCTTATCAAAGAACTGTCTCAGCTCTCAGACACGTTCTGCAGCAGCAGGAAAATGTCTGATGCCTCCACAGACTGTTTTCTGGAGATGGTCCCACAGCCATCACCCTCTGGTTTAAGAGTAGCGGAGGAAGCTCAGCACACAGTTGGAAAAGGCAATGACTTGCTGGCTGACAGGCTGTAAATTACACTGAATTGCACTTGAGCCCATTTTCTGAGAGCATGCTGGATGAAACAGAGTTTTGGTCTGTGTGGATTCAAAAGAAGGAATCAATCTTCTGCCAGCTACTACCATAAGAAGCGCCTTTCTTCAAAGCAGTCTTCAAGGACGTTATTCCTCACGCTGACAGGCACGTGAGGTGCTGTCGCAGTACGGGTAAAAAAAGGTCAGACTACACATAGATAAGATAGTCCAGAGCGTAGCAGGCGCCAGGTCTCCCTCAATTACACTGGCACTGTTTTTGTTGGCATGGTGTCAAGACAACTTAGAAAAGAATCTGACCTTAGACCTCCATGAGGAGAGATTTCCAAAGAAGCAGCAACTTGAAATTTTCTGTCCAGCTCGGATCTTTTCACACTCTCACTGACAGTACTACTTAAAATGGAAGCAATTCTCTGCTCCCCTTACCTTGGTAAAAGGCTGATATTACAAAATCAGAAAAATCTTTCTTTCCCTTGGGCAGAAATTCTGGTATTTTACAGTCTTTCATCCTACCCAAGAGCATTTTAAAGATCTCTGCCCCAGCCCATTGGTTAATGCAGACAGAAAAAGTTCTTCAGTTTTCTTTCTGTTTCTTTTTCCTGGTACTGAGAAGACACTAGCTAGTTTTGTTTTGTTGTAATTATTTTTTTTAAGATTTGGAATCCAAACAATGAAGATTTGTTTTATTTTATTTTTAGTATTTTCCAAGTACTTGCTGTAGAAACAGGGCTCCAGAGATGAATGGAAGAAAAGTCAAAAAGTGTGGAGCTGATAAACACATAGATGATAATGGTAATGTCTGAACGGCCCGCAAATGTCCAAAAAACAGATACTATAGAAAAACTTGTCCATGGCAGGTCAGCAGCTCAGGGGATTCAAGTGACGGGGACAGCAGCTCTCTACCTGCTCTGTTCTGCAAGCTGCTGGCAGGTGCTGCTCTGTGTGAGCATCTCTTGCAGGCACTGGCTGCCCACAGTCACAGAGATGATTGTGTCTTTTATATCTTCCTTCAGTAAAAGGAAGCAGCACAGAGGAGCTAAGCATGACAGAAGCAAGAGCCGAAAACAATACTTTGTAAAAATGCATTACTCTGTAGAGAGAAGAGGGATCTGCCTTCCTTTCCCTGCTATTCATATGAAACTTCACTGAAGGACAACTTTTAGCAAGGACAAGAACTGTCAAGTTTCACCTTTAAGAGATCCACCCTAGTTTATGCTTATTTTCTTATACTGCACACAGAACTATATGAAACAATCGCAAGAATATAAAATTCAGTTGTTTCCTGGTCTTTGTTTTATACTGCATAAAAGATGCAATGTGGACATGCTGACATGCTGGTTGAAGTCTGAAAAACCATCCTCATCCTTTGGGGTTTGGTTTTTTTTTTTAATGCTATCTCATCATCACTGAATTTAATTAATTATTTTAAATTAATGGGTCAGTGGGTTGGGATTAATGGGTTGGAAGTCTGTCATATTTGCATACCTAATGTGAAATTCATCTGCTTGTAATTTCTGCTTTGGGACTGACCAGTCTGGCACATGGATGCTAAATTATCTTTGTCAGGCAATTTTCAAAAGATCTGGAGCCAGATAGGTCATCTGCTGAAACAGCAAATCTCCAGGTGCAACCTACCAAGGTTTTAGTTAGCAGGTAGCTCCAAATAAGTGACATTTTAGAAGTCACTTGGACAAGGCAGGTAAATGTGAGTGACAGATCTCATAATACTACTACTAACAACAACAAGAAGAGTCTGTCCTCTCCCATAGTGTTGTCCTGCCAAAACTGCATGGGAGTTACTCTAAGATAAGATGAACAAACCTTTGTGACAAATGCTATCATTAGCAAGGCACCCTCTCGTGCAACTTTTTTTGAGAACCTAATACAGATGTTATACCTTGCATGTCAGCATACGCTTAGTGGAATCAGTAAAGGATTACGGTAAGAGTCGTCCTGCAGCTGCCAGGAGCTGCCAGCCACAGTGTGTGGCAGAGAAAAAACAGCATCTGGCTCAGGCACCTCCTCAGAGATGGGGAAACCTTAGATTGTGCAGCCAGCCTTAACACGAGACGTTATTTCACTGCTGTCACCATCACGCAAACTTAACCAGTTCCTGTCACTCATCACACATCCCTAGTGACAGTAGCCTACAGGCTATGAAAACAGTGCAATGCTCTCCAGCTTAGCTGACTCATTTCTGTTACAAAGAATACTTAGAGGAAATGCTTAGAGAGCTCCAGTTGTATTCTGCAGAAGTGGGTGTCACCTGTTTATTCCTATCCATGCTATAAATATGCTGGTATATAACCAAAATAAAATTGCATTCTATGGAATAGGACTATGACATGATGAAAAAAAAATGAAAAAGGAATTAATCATAGTCTTTACTTTACCAGTATTGCTTGCTGCTCTGGAAATACTCTGCAAAGCTGGCTTCCAGATGTGCTTATTCAAACTCCTGCACCAAGAAAAAAAGAACTCTTTTTATACAGGAAATATGAATGGCATCCAAAGCGTTAGATCTTCGTCCTGACTGAAGTGAAGCCAATAGCTTGGAGACTTCAGTCGTTCAGCCTTTCTGACTCCATTTCACTTCATAAAAGAATTGGATGCTTAGGAGAACTTTAACAGGACTGGAGAGCCCCTATAACCAGTGTAGGGGAATACAGACCACAGTGTCCTCCCTTGACAGCTGCCAGCTTTGCGTAAATATGCTCTAATTAACATTGTCAGCATCCAGTTCATCCAGTAGAGTGAGAGCAAAATAATTTTCCCAAAGAAAAGTAACCAGAAGAGTGGCATTTTATTTTTGAAAACTTAAAATCTGAGATGTCAAATATTAGAAATTTATCTAGAGGCCGTTAAGTCTGAGAAGTTAGAGCCCTTCCAGAGCAGGGTTCTGCAATATCATGAAATAAATTTCTGGTACTTAATAGGGAGGTGCTTTAACTAATCGTCAAATTTTCAAGCTGGCAAGATTTTTCTCAGGTCCAACCAAAGAGACCATGTCTCCCTAGAAGCCTTATCTTGTTTAAACTGAAAACATCACAGCTACACCACCACCAATCAGGGTAATTTGAAATTAATAAAATGTTAGGACAGAATTAAAAGGAGTTCAGAGTTTTAATGTAATGACTCAGGAACTGTATTCAGCACATACCTGCATTCATCCAGAATAAGATTAACATCAAGGTACTTGAAGAGCAAAGTTTGAGGTGAGCCTCCAAGGGTTCAAAGGGAGAAGGAGAGAAGGTCCACATCTCTGTTGCCATGTGAAAGGGTATTTTGCAGAGACTTCAGGAGGCTGCAAGTCACAGGGCCAAACAGACCAGTCAGCTGTTTCCTAGTCACTCAGTGAAAAGTGAATGCTCCTCACTATTCTCTATACTGTAGCTAATGTTTTTCACTTGGAGTACCAACTAAATCACAGATGTGGTGACTGTCTTTAACCAAATTTTGCTCTGAGATCAGAAAATCTTCATGTAAAACAGCTACATTTATTGTCTATGAAGCTGTGACTAACTTTGCAAATGGGATTGCCTGGGGATGCTGCACAAAAAGGATCCCGGACTGGACACAGGCCACTAGCAGCCGTGGAATCATCTTCAGAAGCTGCCTGTGAGCAACTGGTGTCTTGCCTCACCTGGTGCTGGCAGCGACACTGGGATGAAGAGCAGAAATGGCCTTGAACAGGAAGAATGGTGAGAATTGCTGCACAGGAAGGCACTGGTATCGGCACGTCAAAAAGCAAAAGCTGGAATCATAGCTGAAGGAACAGCTGGCCTTGTGCTTCTCTGCAACAGTGAAACAGAGCATGAATTCAGAACAAACAGCTGAATGACTGAAAAAGCAAAAATAAAGAGGAAATCAACAGAAGTGAAACTTTTGTTTAAAGCTGCTCAATAATAGCACTTATATGTTTTTATGTACTTAGATGGACTGGGGCCTAAATAAGTTTGATTTTTCTATTTCTTACATTATAGCGTGCATTTTGTAAAGCAATGTTCAAAAATAGAAGTAGTTGCAAGGCCAGACTTCGTATATATTTATTGCCATACCATCTCCCAATAGCAGCTCAGTCCCCCAACCACTGGCATGAATGATGCATGTACAATAGCGTTAATTTCAGATAAAAGTAACATTAGTGTATGGGCTACACAAGGCCTATTTATCTCTTAGTAGAGATAGAAATCTCTTAGAAAATATCTTCTCTAAGAGAAGATAGAAAATGGTAAGTAAAATCTAAATCAGAACATTCAATATAATATGTTTTCACATTCTTAGGCTTCTTTAATTTATTAAAAGAATCAAAAGATACAAGATTCCACAAGCCAACTGGAAGACATCTCATCAGTTCAGCTTAGAAAGACCTCTACGACAGATAGAGAAATATCACATTTTAAAATATAATTTGAAATCAAAATGTCACAAACTGCCTCCATATTTTGATTTAAGTGATTTTAATCACAGATTCTAGTTTGTGGTCTGTACAGCACCTTGTATGAATCACTGTATTGAAATTCTCTAATTAAGACTTATCTCTTTCCACTAAGCCCAGAATATGCAGGGTCAAGTATGAATTTGATGGAATGAAGATCAGACTTCTATTGCTGGCATTCAAAGTCTTGAACAACTGCCCCGACAACTGGTCCGTGAGCACCTCATGGTACTCGGTTTCTGTTAAGATAAATAATCTACTGGTCCTAAAAGATTTTCAACAGCACATTCCAGTGAGACTCCAGGCCCTGTGTTATGAACTAAACAGGAAAACAAAATGAACCAGAGGAACATACAAAGAAATTGTGAAAAGGACCCACTTCAAGGGGAAATATTAACCACTTCTTATGTACGGGAACCTAACCTTTCTACTGAACTAGTTGTTGTGATGAAGGCTGCAGTGAGACGATCATGCAAACATTTATTTATCTGAATAAATGTAAAAAAATATTAAAGAGTGATATTAAAAATATATTTATTTGACTTTTTGTAGATGGCTAAAGTGCATGTAGTTGTGCACCTTGATGGTTGTTTCTCAGTGTAGCTCTAAATAGGGCAGTCCTCTAAACTAAACAACAAAAATTGGAATTGGAATTTAGATGCAACCAAAAAGCACCTCTTCAGGCATTCAAATATATTGAAGCCAAAAACTTAGCAAGCTTTCAGCTTGTCATGAAAAGCAGCAATAAATGATAAATGCAAAACCAGTACGCCTTATTTTCAAAACCTGGCGAGCCCACAAAACCAGGCTTGCAGAAGTGCACTCTGTTGCAAAAGCCAACAGTGCTTGTTTATTCAAAATAGAAACTGTCAATACTTTAAGAGCCAACAAGGAGACGTCAGTTCAGCGTAGATGGTGCCTAAGATTCAGGCAAATGTCACATAGCATAAAGTGGCTGTGCAGAGCAGGCACGACAATGTGTGCATGTTTTTGCTTGCACTTTTGTAGTTTTGACATTCCAAACATCAAGTACTTAATATTGAAATAATTTCAAATTTTGTGCAGGAGCATTTGAAGATCTGTAGCTCTGCTACAACTTGAGCTGATATGAATTTCAGGCAATAGACACTTTAGACCGGAAAAGGACAGCACAACCTCAGATTTGCAAGGCAAAGCTCTTCAGGAGTACTCGGGCTCGGCTGCCGGTTACAGCCTCATTTACAAGAAACTGTGCAGGGCGAAAGTGAAAGGTACAAAGACTTTCTTTTTCTTATCTACAGATATCTTAACTCTGATTATACATACTGTCTTTTAAAAGACAATACAGTGATTACCAACAAAAAATCCTAACAGATGTGGGTTAGGTATTTTCATTTTCATTATTTTCATAGATTTTAAGGCAGAGGGAAAACTGAATAGTTGAACCTACTGTCTGACAGAGACCACTGATTTATTTGCATTCTGGTACCTCCAGCTCTTCCTTTGCTGGGAACTCAGTGGTGTTTCAGTCCACCCCAAACCCACAAGAGCCTCCAGCACTCACCAGTAGAGCTAAGGAGGCTGAAGCACAGTCAGTATTGTGTTCGTGCTGTCATTTGATGCAATCCCTTTTACATTTATTTCTGCCAAATCAGATACTCGGGTAAACATCTGGGCACTGGCAAAAATATTCTCCAGGACCTATTTTTTCCTCCACCCAGGTTGCCAACCATATTGATGACGGAATTCATTGCTTAGGGCAGAAATTTTTCAAATGCAACTGCACTGGCCTCAATCACTCCCAAGTTCCACTGCTGTGCTCTGGTAAAATGAAGCAGTCAGTTTACAGGTTAGATTCACCATATAGAACAGGATAGAGTTCATAAAATGCTTTGGCTGGCCAGCTAAATTACAGTATATGCTACCCATAAAACCAGCACTACTTAGTATCAATCTACTGATTCTTCTGACTTGGGCCCTGTTCTGAAAGGTACATAATGCCTTCTGAGACGTGCCACATACTTTAAACCTTCTTTGGTATCAGCCTGAGTAACAGTTGTGTGCGACTTGCAAAATCAAGGCGGGGAGGAAGAATCCTTATTAATAAAATCCCTAAAGCTCACAGTCATGGGAGTGTTAATTTAAAGAGTGCCACATTTTACTCAAAGGTGGCAGTACTCAGTGAATGTCTCTTTTGCTTACGGCTACTTTCCCTTCTGTTTCTTATAAATGTCATTGTACTACTCTGGATTCTGTCTGGACGCATGATCATCTGGGGAAAACAGAAATTCCAACCACAGGAAACAGAACTGAAAGTAATTAGAGAATCTTTGTCATTCATTCTCTGACTTGTAAACTAGATAGATGCGTTTCCTTCCAAAGGCTGTATTTCCCAGCTGTAAAACGATAGAGCTCCCCCCACCAGTGCTTCTGCAATCTTCCTCACACAGCCATGGAGTGTTGCAAGCTATTAACATTTGTAAAGAGTACTTGTAAAGTCATAAAAGCAGCAGGGCCATCAAGTTCTTACTCCTAAACGGTGGGGAAAGTTTCAGTTTCTGCTCTTGAGTTAAAGCAGTTTGCATGTTTGGCAATGATAATATAGTTTATGGTCTGTAATCTTGCATTAAGCCCCCTTAAATTCCTGGTACATGAGTAGGAAAGGCTGTACTGTTGCTCTGTTGTTTCTTCAGTAAAGTTACAGGCAGATGCTTTTATCTTTCCTGGTAGCCATTTTTCATGCAAGCACATACCGAAGAACAAGTTTCTATCATGGTTTTCATTTTGCTGGTTTTCATTCACACTTATATTAAATGTCTGAATATACAGCACCTCAACTTAATAGCTCTAAAGTTGTATCTTCGCGTTGCAGCTCTGTATAAATGGGCAGACTGTGCATTTCAGAAAGTAATAAATGAACAGACTATACATGAAAAGGCCTCTGGAAAGTGGCAAGTCACATCCTGGGTCAGCCCTGCTCCTCTGTCCCACTCAGGTAGGAGGGAGCTTCTGCCTCCTGTTCCCAGGTTTTACCAAGTGCTACAGCTTGGTTGGCCACAGGTTGGCCTCTGTGGAAGCAGGTTAGCTTTCACCGTAGAAGCACAAGATTCCTGTGAAGGTGGGTTGAGATGTCTAGACTGCAGACCTAGAAAACTCTTGAGGTTTATCTAAGCTTGGCCAAATGCCTCAGGAGGAAGGAGTGCTCCCCTGGCTGAAGAGCTGTCTTTGATTGCCCACTGCTTGGGACCAAAGTACTTCCTTCTTCCTCCCCACCACCCCCCACCCCTTTCTTCCTTCAGTGTGCACAGACCCTGCAATAAAACCTTTTCATTCAGAAGGAAAGGGCTGTTGTGCTCCAATGATAAAGCAACAGGTGACTTAAACCTGGGCAGCTGCATTTCAGCAGACAGGAAATGTTGCACAGTCACAAAAACTG